AAAGTTATAATGTATGCAACTAATTATTTAGCATTAAACCTGATCGTGGTGCATTCTAGGGCATTTCACACTCTGAAAGATTCTAGATTGTGTCAATTTCCCATCACCAGGTAGTGCTTATGTTGAATTTTAAATAGATGGCATTTCAATATTACATGTCAAATATAAGAAAACATGATAATACTCCATTTCAAAGTAGAGAGAGTGGAGCTCCTGAAAATTGCCACATCATTTCTTGCCCAGATTTGTCATCAGAATATGGATTTATCTTTTGGATCTGATCAGGATGCTGGGGCAGGATGACACCTTCAAGGCCAGCCTGGGCTGTGCTCTGAGTTCAAGAGCAGCCTGGGTAACTTAGTGAACCTTACCTCAAAATAAAAAGTAATAAGAGATTGAGGAGGCCGGAGATTCCACTCATCAGTTAAGAGTGCTTGCTCCTCTATCAGACAAGACTTAAGCTTGGTTTCTGGCACCTGTATCAGGCCACTTAGAGCCACCTGTAACTCCAGTTCCAGAGGATCCAGTGTCCTCATCTGACCTCTACTGGCACCCCCCAACAGACATGTACACATAAATAAAAATAAAGATTTTTAAAAGAGATATTGGGGATATAGCACAGTGGTAGAGCACTTGTCTAGCATATCTGAGAATCAAGAACATGGTCTTGTGTAGACCATGTACATGTTTACCAATAGGACAGAGAATCTGTGAAGTGAGATACTGTGCTTTTCTACCAAGGAAGCCTTCTTATGTAGCACAGTGTGAGACTGGGATAATGCGCATCATATATTTGCTGAAACTCCAGGTAATATTTTGGTGTGACCAGTGTTTTCAGGGCCACAGAATGATTATCAGTTGAGCAGCCTTGGCCCTGTGACAGGAGCTTCATTGGAGGAGTAAAAGTTGCAGCTTTTGCTGGTTGATCTCAGTGGCCATGGCAGTGTGGCAACACTGTCTGTATTTGGGCTGATAAGAACAGTGTACCAGGCAGACACTCATGTGGGATTTCCACTCCCAGCAATAACAGGAACCATGGTCACACAGAGGAATGGGAAGAAAGAGAGACTCTTACTTGTTATCAGAATGCTTTTGTCCTGTCACTTGTATTCCATTCGTGTCCGCGCTCAGCATGGACTTGAATAGGGTTCCTCAGGATTGGATGATGTGTATCTTCTATCTGAACTCTTGCAGAATTCAGTAATAGCAAAACAGCATCATCACCAGCCGTGATGTTTGAACATAGGAACAGGGACAGTTAGCTGACTCTAGTGAAAAAACACTCAGATTACTTTAAAACACTGAATATGGAATTTCATATTTCTTTATTTAGAGCTTATTAGCATATAACAGAATGATAAATTGTTTTCTAAAATATATTACCAATTTAGCAAATTTCATCATTTTAAGAGAGAGAGAGAGAGAGAGAGAGAGAGAGAGAGAGAGAGAGGATGTTCTGGACTTGAGAGATGGTTCAGAGGTTAAGGGCACTGGCTGCTCTTCCAGAGGTTCTGAGTTCAATTCCCAGCAACCACATGGTGGCTCAGAACCATCTGTAATGAGATCTGGTTCCATCTTCTGGCCGTCTGTGACACATGCAGGCAGAACACTGTATACATAATAAATAAACATATCTAAAAAAAAAGGGGGGATTCTTCTAATCCATATGTTACTCCTGGTAAACATCACCCTTGAATCTAAAGATTTCTAAGAATGTACAACTGATAGGTTTGTACTAAAAGGTAGAAACCAGCCCCTCCCACCCCACCAGTCTTGCTTGTTGGCTTCAGACATCAGCTTATCATTGTGAGATAACGAATCTGGGCTTCCTCAGCGACAGCTGGACCATTTAGGCTCTTATCTAACTCTGCCATTTAGACATGAGTTTCATCCTTTTTTTCTTGTTTTCTTTCTCTTTGTTTCCTCCAGAATGTTAAAGACTATTTTGAATGCAGCTTGAGTAAATCCTATAGTTCCTCCAGTTACACCCTTGGAATTGACCTCTGGAGGGGCAGAAGGTGCTGTTCAGGAAACTTACAGCTGCCACCGTTGTCCCAGAGACAGAGTGAAAGGGCAAGGACCCCCGAGGGAGATGGCATTTCCAGGCCAACCACTCTACCTTTGACAACGCTTCCCAGCATTGCTATAACAACTGTGAGCCAGGAGTGGTGAGTAGCCACTGGCAGTTCTAAATCTTATTTTCCAATTATTTCAAATACAATTGTGTTGTTAAAACGGCAGTCGATGTCTGTGGAAACAGAAGACTGTTGTCTTCCTGAGAGCTAGTTTCCCTTGGGTATCAGGTTGAAGACACTCTTAAACAACGGCAAGAGTGTCTGCTTCTTAAGATGGGAAGGAGCATGCCTTACATGCATTTGCAACACTGTCAAGTGTAAAACAAAGTTAACAGCCTGTGGTCTATTTGTTTCACTAAAACTTCATTCCATGTGTGTTGATACCTTTTAATTCAGAAAAGCAAAATTGTACCCTACAATGCTCCTGGGTAGTTCTTAAATGTTTTTCTTGTTCTACTCTGTACATACTCCTAGCTTTAAAAATTATAATCCTAATTTACAAATCTCAGGACTTATTTTGATATAAAAACGCTCCATTATAAATCTGAGTAGGAATGAGAATTGTGTTATGAGAACTGCGGTGATGGCTCAGTGGGTAAAGAACTTGCTTCTGAAGTTTGAGGACTTGAATTTGATCCCCAGAATTCACATACAATATGCTGAGGGTGGTGGCATGCTCCTAAAGTCTTCAGCACTGGGATAGGCAAAGGCAGGGGGATTTCTAGAGTTAATTTTCTAGTTAGACTAGCCTACTTGGTGAGCTACAGACCTATCAGATACTCTTTCTTCAGAGGAGTTGAAAAGCGTCCTGAGAGTGACATCAGACATTGTCCTCTGGTTGCCATGGGCACTCTATATTCATGCACATGCATACACATGAGCACACACACTTGTCTACACATGAACACACACACTTGTCTACACATGAGCACACACACTTGTATACATCCACATGCATTAAAAGAGAATTATGTCAAGAGGCTCTTTTACACTATTTGTGAAGGAAACTTTTGTTGAAATGGTAACCAAGAAAATAAAATCATAGGACTCTGGACAAAATTGTTCCATGACTTCACTTCAGATATATGTTCTAGCATTCTTATTTCAAGTATTTTCCAATAATGAATTGCTTATACAAAATGAAGAGTTTTGCTAAAATAAAAAACATGTTCTAACTTACATAATTTAAAGTTATAATAATGCACTACTTTAAAAACCATGTTTAAAATAATTTATTAGGAGAAAGACTGAGTACAATGAATTATTGCATGACATTGATCTAATATATCATTAATTCTGTGACTTACGGTGAACATCTGCCCTCACTGCATGCCAAGTGCCAGCGATGCAGGGCATCTTTACTTGGTGTTTAATCTACTGAGAATTAGAACCATGTGACTTCAGGAGTCACAACTGGCAGTGTGAAAGGGCTTACTAAACAATCTGTGTGTGGCAGAAAAGACACTCTGGTGTCGCAAGGGAGGGGGTTTACATTTGGAGAACCACCATCTCCTCACCTGAGGTCACATCATAGACATCACTGAGATAGCTGTTCATGAGAACTATGGGGACATATGTCCCCACAGTTTTCTTAGCCATAAAACTCAGATATTAATTCTGTTTGTGCTTCTGCATAACTGCAGGTTTAGAATCTTGTAGCTTTTGGCATTTACTTTTGAGTACCTTGACAAGGTGGACCTGTTGTTGACTACTAAAATGCTTCCATATCAGTTAATAAGGACGCGTTTCCTGAGCTAGCCCCTTTATCATCCCAGAGTCTTCCTCAGAAGTCCACGGAGGTACGAGGTGATGACTGACAGTAGTGAGCGATGGTCTGTATATAACATTTAACAGTTTGAATAGCAAAATAAATGAAATGTTCCATATAAAATGTGTTTAACTCAGGAAATGTAAGCAACCATAGAACTGACTTTTTCTTAGAAGTACCAAAATTTGACTCTTAGTTTGGGGAATGCTTACTTATCTCTCTAAGTTCAATAAGCTTGTTTGTAACATCAAAAAGTGATATAATGCATACCAGATAGGTGATTGGAAAGATTAAATTGGTTACTCAATTATAAGAGATTTAGCTTAGGAGAAAGTATTTCTTTATTAGGTAGCCAGTAAGTTTAGTTTCTTTCCTCTTGATCACTAGTCAATAAAACCTTTTAAAAAACAGAAACCAAATATTGTTTGAATGTGAAATGTCCCCTGTAGACTGATGTTTTAACACTTGAGTGCCATTTAGGAAGGCTATGGAATCTTTGGGAGCTATAACCTTGCTGGAGGAAGTGAGTGACTGGGGTTGGGCCTTGATGTTTTGCAGCCCAGTGCCTCTTCTTAGACAGTATGTGCTTCCTACCTGCAGATACAATGCAACTTGATGAGGTTTCTCATGATTCTGCCAGCATACCTTCCCAGTCCCATGAGGAACTGCATCTTTTCTTTAACTGTAAAAGAATACACCCTTCCTCCCTACATTTTTCCTTTTAAATATCCGGTCACAATAATGGAACAAGTAACTAGTACAGAAAATCAGTACCAAGAATTGGGGGCTGTTGCTGTGGCAAACCTGACCATATGATTCTCAGGCCTATGAAACAGGTTTGCAGAAAGAATGTGGAAGATTTTAGGATTGTGGGCTAGGGAAGCCCTAGAACACTGTAAGCAGAGCTTAGTGGGTCATTCTGGCGGGATTTCAGAGTACCAGAATGCCTAGAGATTTGCAGCCAATGAAGGTCCATCTCAGGAGGTTTCAGAGGTTTCAGGTTTCACAGATCCTACAGGGAAATGGGAAGTGGGCTTTAAGGTTATTAAACCCTATTACATTCTGGCAAAGAATCTATCTGTGTGTTTCCTGTGTTCTGAGAACTTGAGTGAGACTAATCTCAAAAGTGATGGACTTTATATAGATTGAGGCACCATGGGCTTTTCTCTGTCTACTTTGACATGTCCAATGTTGGTGTCCTTCTTTAGCTCACTTTTGGGCAGTCATGTTAGTGAGACATTATGGGTCTAGATTTTCAAAAAGACTAAAGGCAACTGAGGAAAGTTTGGAGCAGGAGACTTGCTCTTTCCAGCGAAGATCACACCAATTTGTTGTCGAGTACATAATGGTCAGCACTGAAAACATACATACAAGTAACATTAATGGACCAAGTGTATTATATTTATAAATATATATGCATGCAGTAACAGTTAATAAGAAGAGACCATGAATTTGAAGTAGTGTGGGAAAGGGTATATTGGAAGGCTTGGGGAGAGGAAAGGGAAGGAAGAAATGTAATTATATTATAAATTCAACAATAAAAAGTAAGGAAAAATAATGGCCTAATTAGTTTGATGTAGGGCTGATGACATTTCAAGATAGGATAATAGTCAGGCTATGTGAAAGTTACTATTGACTGTTCTTCTGGTCTACAGAAAAGAAAGCAACAAATGGAGTAAAAAGTGTTTAAATGTGCCTCTTTGTAAGGCAAGTATGAATTTAAAGTTCTAGACATGACAGTTGAGAAAGCATATGTAATTGTTAAAGAGATTAGTGCCATTAAAAAGCAACCAATGTGTTTTATACTGGGGAAATAGGAAATATGCTTTGAAGGCAAGACCCTACCCATGAAAGGCTCCAACCAGTGAAAATGCAAATTCATTTGAAAGGAAGGAGACTAAACTGAGGGTATAGCTAAAAGGGATCCTTGCTCAAAAACAGTCAAATAGGAAAGTGTTTCCCCAGTGTCAGCATACAGAAGCCACCACAATTATTTTACAAAGAAGCTAAGCCTCATCTGGAGATGGTAGCAGAACTTTGCTAGAGCCTTTGCAAAGAATCCCTGAAAGGCCAGTGTGTAAGCTGTGAAGGTGAAGCCTAAGTTGCAATGGAGAGTCCAGGATATGGGATATACCAATCATGGGACATTTACTAAATCTTTGGGCAGGAAAAGGAGCTGGCCTAAGGGAGGAGTTATGTGTGTTGTAAACAGTACTAGTTGCATGGGGGTGGGGGGAATAGGGTAGAGGTACAGTGGGGGGTGGGGAGTTGGGGAAGTGGAGGAGTGCAAGGCTATGTAAGTCCTTTGAAACTTAGATGGCCCAATAAGAGTGCCAGGTGCTAGTATGGCCTTGCATGATATAACATTCATTCTTAGGGATTTGGGTCTTGGTTCAATCTTTCCCTACTATGACCTCATTCTTTCTTTTTGAAATGATGATGTTGGATGTTGGAAGTCTGTAACGTGGTTTTTTATTTTACAGAAGCTCACAGTTAAGGGGTTTGTTTTAGTTAGGTTTTCTATTGTTGTGGTAAAATACCAAAATCACAAGCAACCTGGGAAGGAATGGGTTTACTTTGGCTTACAACTCCACATTACAGTCCATTACTGAAGGAAGTCAGAGCAGGAAATCACAAAGGCAGGTGCTAATGCAGAGGCCATGGGGGGGGGTGCTGCTTTCTGGCTTGCTCATTTCACATTCTTAGTGCACCCAAGACCACTTACCCAAGGATGGAGCTATCCACAGTGAGCTGGACCCTCTCACATGGGCCTATGGGTTCAAGGGCAGAATGCTCTAGTTTGAATGTGAACTGTACACCCCACCCCCACCCCTGTGTGTTTTTAAACCCTTGTCCCCCAGTTGGTGGCACTGTTTGTGAAGATTGTGCAACCTTTGGGAAGTGCAGGCTTGCTGGAGGAAGAGGGTCACTGGGATAGGCCTTGGAGTTTTGTAGCATGATTCCACTTTTCATTCAGTCTGAGCTTCCTGACTAGAGATACATATCAGGCTCCTACCCACCATCATGTCTTCTCTGCTATGATTTATTGTAACCCTTCTTAAACCATAAGCCACAATAGGACCTTTATTCTTTAGTTTCTTCTTGTTAAATATTCATTCACAGAAATGAAAAAAATAACTAATCTACCATGTCTCAAATATCAGTAGCTTATTCTGGAGTCAGTGGCATAGAGAGAAATGGATATGAAAATTATATAGTATTTTCCATAGTCACCTAATATACCTTACTAATTTATTTATAACATACTTACTTTCTTTATATTAAGCATATCCTTTATAAAACACAACAAAATTCAATC